GGGTCGCCTCGCTAGAGGCTGCGCCCAGAAGACGCGGGGCTCGGGAGGGAGACTTGGGCTGCACAGCTGCATTTGGGCCAGTCACCTGCCAGGAGGGCCCGGGCGCCGGGCTCAGCCTTACTCCATGCGCCCCCTTGTCCGAGCTCCAACTCCTCTGCCGCTCTTCACCCTTCCTCCTTTGCCCCGCTGGTCCGGCCGAGGCTTGCTTCCTGGGAGAAGCCTTCCCAGAGGGCTTCCTCAGTGTTGGGGGCCTGGGGGAAGCTCTGCCCAGGCTCCCTGCTCTGTTTCTCTCTGTGGGCCTGTTTAGTGTCTGCGGTCCTCAGCACTGAGCCAGGGCAGACTGGGTCTTAGGGACTCTGCATCCCTGGGGCAGGTGGGAAGTGTATTCGGGAGACCAGCTTTAGAGATCCGATCTGGGAAACAAGCGTACGGTAATATAATATATAAAACTCATAATATAATATATATAAAAAAATAGTTGTACACATACGGGTGCGTATATGTTACTTTAACACAGAAATATGAAAAAGAAAATAGTTTGAAACATGGATGAAAAAGGAGCCACTTACTAAACCTGACAAGCTCAGGGGAAGCCAGCATGGTGGGCCCTACAAACTCAGAGACCAAAAATAACCACGTAGTATGGTCTGAACATAAAAATTCCTAACTGAAAGCAGGCAATGGTGGGTAGTCATACCCTGGGCCTGTAGCTTTCTTGACAAAGGTCAATCTTTACCTTAAGTAAGTCTGTCTATTGTCTTTTTGCATCTAAGATAACAGACCCTTGGAATGTCAGAGTAATCCCTTCTTTTCCAGATCCCTTCAAGGCTCAACCCACTGCACCAGAGCAGGAGACCACCGCCCCCCTCATTGTTATCTTGTCCTCTGCATACCATCACCATGTGCTGTAAATGTTAATTATTAACTCTCATGCACCCACCAATGTAAAAGAAGTGTGTGTCCCTCCATTTTACTTTTTACCCAGTTCCAGGGATTTTCCCTCTTTGCTTTCTCCTGCTAAATTAATCTACTACCAATGAATTTCATATAACCTTCCTTACACCTCCTCCTTTGATTCTCATGTATATAATAAACTGCAAAACTGCCATTCTCTGGAGCATTTTCTCAGTCCTTTGAGATTTTGCTTCGTGGCAATTGTCATCAGTTTGGCTCCAATAAACTCATTAAAATTCTCTACAGATTTGGATATTTCTTACACTGACATATATTAGAATTACACATATATGAAAATAGGTGTTTATTTTAAATTATATAGTCTGTTATTTACTTTTTTGTTACATAAATGCTATTATTTAAACAAAACAACAATAGGATTAGTAAGATGGGCATTAATAATAGCTCTAAACAATATGTATGAGAAAAATATAAAAATAGTTTTATGTTTCTGTCCTCCAATACAGCAATTTATTTCAACTCTATTGGATACTTAAATTTTGTATTAAGATACATACATGAAAAAGGCTACATGCTATATGATTCCAACTGTATGACATTCTGGAAAAGATGGAACTATGAAGACAGTAAAAGATCAGCAGTTGCCAGGGGTTAGCTTAGAGGCAGGGGGCATGAGTAAGTGAAGCACAGAGGATTCTTAGGACAGTAAAAATACTCTATATGATACTATAATGATGGATACATGTCATTATACATTTTCCCAAACCTATTGAATGTAAAACATCAAGAGTGAACATAATGTAAACTATGGACTTTGGGTGATTTTCATGTGTCAATATAGATTCATAAGTTGTAACAAATGTATCATTCTGTTGGAGGATGCTGATGATGGGGGAAGCTATGCATGTGTGAGGGCAAGGGGTATATGTGCAATCTCAGTATCTTCCTCTCATTTTGCTGTGAACCTAAAACTGCTCTACAAAAATAAAGTCTTTTTTTTTTAATACACATACGGTATATGTAAGACTTTTTAAAAGGAGACTGTAAATACAATAAGACTAATTAAACAGATATAAACAATATTTAATAAAAAGTAACAATGACATTTCTATTCTATGACATAGAGGATATTTTTACCTTTCAGTTTCCCTGCTTACAACTTTTAAGAAACCCTTTTTTTAATGTAGTGATTAACTGAATGTGGCCAAAAGTAAAATTCTTCAATTGCAGCCTTGCTATTATTAAGCCCACATTACACTGATTCTTGTTTTCAGTCCAATGTGATGGCATCAAGCTGAAGGTCCTCTTAACAAAATCATTTGAGCATGGAATATTTAGGATCTTACTAACAACAGCAGGTTTTTAGACTTGTATGGATTAGTTTCCAGGTCTCCAAAAACGTCTATCCACTTTGTAGCTATGGGCTGGTTTTGGTAGACCAGCTCTTTGTCAGTCTGCTCCTTTGTGTCTATAAATTAATCATACAGGATATCCATGTCTAAAATGTCCATTCCTCTTACTTAAATATTTTGAAGTACACCAGATGTCGTAAGTTAAACTTCTCTCTCTCTCTCAATGGTTTTAAGGCACAGAAATATTTGAACTTGTGAAATTGAACTTGGATTACAAATAAGTTCCTGATTTAGTAAAGAAATGAGAAAGTCCTGTTTAAATTCTTTGTCCTTTTCTGGTGCCATTTTGTTTCCAAACTGAGTCATTTTTCATTACATGAGTTTTTGTCACTGTCTACACATAACATTGAACAACTCAAGTGCAGTCAGTTCATCTTATTTTAGGCCCCTTAGGGCCTCTTCTATAATCATCAAACACTTTTAAAGGAATAGTTTTTAAAATTTTTGTTTGACTGCAATCCTTTTCTCCATTCTCATTCTCAGTATATTTCCAAATTAGAGAAAGACATTCTCCTTGTCCCACACTTTGAAGATATGACTTTACAGCAGGCAAACTTTTTAACATCTCTTCTATGACTGACAACAGTGACAGCCATTTCTAGGCACATGTCTAAAGGAGACCATCTCCTTTCATTTCTAGAATGTCAAATAACTCATTAAAGGCATTAAGTGCATGTTTAGAGGAAACTGAGAAGTAACCAAACATTTCGCTATGAAAGCCTCAGTATTACAGAAAGCAAACCACCCTCTATTAGCCATGCTGTGTACAAGGTGTGCAGGACATTTAGTAGGCAAGATCTTTTCATTTTCTTCAGTAAAAGTTCATAGACTGAACGGAATCTGCAAAACTTTCCCATTGCACTGTCTGCTAAATATGCAGGCAGATAAGCAAAGTCTCCTTTGTATGTGGACAGGATGGCATCAACATTCCTTTGTTTATTTTCTCTGAAGTCTCATTAAAATCTTCACCGAAATCAAAAAGACAATTTGAAACTCCATTTTAAAAAAATTTTTAAATATTTTATTATTTTTTTTGAAACTCCATTTTTTAAGTCAAAGTACTTAAGAGACAGGTGAACATTTTTTATTGTCATGATTTGGCTCAGTGCTTGGCATACTGTAAAGAGTGTGATCATTGGTAGAATGTGGCAGAATCAGCTCTACACTGTAAAGGGCCAGCATATTTATCAAAATTTGCCTTTTGTTCTCCCACAGGATATTTCAGTTACAGCCTCTGAATGAGAAACGTAACTTTACTTAGTTTCATAGAACAATCAATGAGCGATACATCCATTCCTGTATGTCCAAGCTGATCCAACGGCCACTATTTTCAACTGAGAATCAGTGTCTTTTGGGGAGACCAAAAAACTCTTGATGAATTTAGAAGTACTTGCCTGTCTCACTGGGGACTTGTGAGAATCATGTTCTACATGTGCTTGCAACAAATGGTGCTGAAACAACTAGATATCTATATAGAAAAAAAATGAATTAATCCCTGCCTCATACCATACATAAACTTAATAAATTCAAAATGAGTTGGAGATCTAAATGTAAAAGCTGAAACCATAAATCTTCTAGAAGAAAACATAAAAGAAAGCCTTTTGACATCAGGTAAGGCAAAGATTCCTTATGTAGGACACAGAGACACAAACCAATAAAAAAAACTCCTGATAATTGGACTTCATTAAAATTAAAAACATTTGCTCCTCAAAAGACACTGTTAAGTCATAAAACACAAAAAATAGACTGAGAGAAAATTTTTGCAAATACTCATGTGACAAAGACTCAAGATTTAAATAGACACATCACCAGTGAAGATATTTGAGTGGCAAATAAGCACATGAAAAGATGCTTAACATCATGAGTGATTAGGGAAACGAAAATTAAAGCTACAATGAGATACTACTACGCACCTATTAGAATAGCTAAAAATTAAGAAAAACAAAACCAAAAAAACTGACCACACCAAGTGATGCAGAGGATGCAGAGCAATTGGTGGGAATGCAAAATGGTACAGCCACTTTGTATAACAGTTTCTTTCTTTCTTTTTTCTTTTTCTTCCTTTTTTTTTTTTTTTTACAAAAGTAAACAGCAATCCCATCACTAGAAATTTGCCCAAGAGAAATGAAAGCATACCCACACAAAGACCTGTAATGAATGTTCTAGCAGCTTTAATAATAGCCAAGAAGCAGTGAATGGATAGCAAATTGTGGTACATCCATATAATGGAAACTACTCAGCAATGGAAAGAAATAAACTGCTAATACACCCATCAACATAGATGAATCTCTAAAGCTTTATGCTGAGTGAAAGAAGCCAGTGTTCAAAGGCTATATCCTATAGGATTCCATTTATATGCCATTCTAGGAAAAGCAACAGAAATCAGATCAGTAGTTGCCAGGGATGGGCGGGGGTCAGGGAGGCACAGAGAAAGTTTTGAGGGTAATAAAAAATGTGTGATATCATGTGGTGATTACACCATTATATACATTTGTCAAACAAACAGAACTAGTGAATTTTATCATATGTAAATTTATCTCAATAAACCTGATTTATAAAAAGAATCCATGTGTCATTGTGCTGTGACATCAGTCTCAACTTCTTAACAGGGAACGCCCCCCCGCCCCCACCC